AAGCGTACAGTAGTGATACTCTAAACTCCGTCAAAGCTCTAAAGTAAATAGTAAATTCTATCATCTATGACGTGGTCCGAACGACGACGTAGAGTAGACAGTTGGCACTTGACACTTGCATCAATAATCTTTCCAGTGGTGATCTGATACCTTTCTCTTCTCCACGCGGCAGAATATACCCAATGCGGACACCGCTCAACGATGTCAGTGGCTTCCTCCCGGTCCTCTGTTATGACGTCATCGCTGTGGTGGCGCACCTGTCCGCTGTGGCGCGCATGGAGTCGCTGCATCGGCGTATATAGGGGCAATCGCACAATGGTGACAGCTCCACAACAACACAACCACCCCTTCCACCTGAATTTCTTCACGCATTTTATCTAACAATATGTCGACTGGATCCTCTGCAGGCACGAGCGTCGGCCAGAAGGTCAAGTGAGTACTCCGTCGCGTCGCACGAGCTCATGCTTACCACCCTTCATCTTCGCAGAGGCGCGTTCCAGACTGTACACGGTACGCACTCACCCTCGCCCCGAGCTCACAACCGCCGCGTCTTACTGACGACGCTACTCGTTCCTGCAGGCATCGGCGAGAGCATCCGCGGAAACGCGATGGACTTTGTCGATTCGGCGACGGGCACGACCCAACGCGGGCACGCTGCGACGGAGCGCGGCGAGTTTGAGACGCAGAAGGGCATGGCGAACATGGAGGGGCGCGCGCAGCCCGTCGGTACCGCGCCCGGCGGCGGCGTGGGCGTCGGCACGGGCCCCGTAGACGCTTCGACCGGGACGAACGCCGCCGCAGGTACTGGAGCTGGGACGGGCCTCGGAGCCGGAACGAACATTGCTGCTGGCACCGGAGCTGGGACAGGTCTTGGTGCTGGAACGGACACTGCTGCCGGCACCGGTGCTGGAACAGGCCTTGGTGCTGGAACGAACACTGCTGCCGGCACCGGTGCTGGGACAGGCCTCGGTGCTGGAACGAACACTTCCGCCGGCACCGGAACTGGACCAGGCTTTGGTGCCGGAGCGAACACTGGTGCCAACACTGGGGCTGGGGTTGGAGCAGGACCAGGCGTTGGAGCTACGAACGCAGGAAGCGCTGCGCGTGGTGCGGGGCTCGAGACACAGGGCGGTGTTGTCCCGCCAGGGTCCAGCACCGGCTACTAAATGGTGGGCCTTGTTCGTCGTCTATGCATCAAGTTGGTGGGCTGATGATTCGTCACCTTACTACCAGTGAAATGGCGTTGACAACCTTCAATCGTGCATATCATAGTGTACAATAGTTATATCCCACCACTTTCAACATAATGTCACATCATGAGCCGGTTTCAAACATCGTACTTCGTGTGTCGAACATGTCGGAAACAGTAGAAGGGCTAGGAATGTACAATGATATCTATGGATAGGACGTGCACAAGCACAAGTCTAACAGGTTACAGTACAATGGCTACGATGCGGCATGAGCATGAGTCTAATAAGTTACAGCACGGTGGTGAGTGGTGAGCTACATAACTTGAATCAGAGGAGTATCTGAAACAAGCTAGCAATGTGGATGGACACATGTGATAGAGAAATGAGGATACGTCAGTGGCAGAGAGAGAGGGCATACACGACACAGAAATAAAAATACATCAGTGGCAGATAGACAGAACATCAATGATGACACCAGCACTCAGCGCGTGCATGGACATCCACTACCTCTTCGAAGGCGCCCACCAACTCGAAGATGAACGCGACGTCGTGAGGTGTCAGAATGTGAGAGGAGGAGCAAATGTCCGCCTTGTCCAGGGTCGAGCTCCAAAGAGGGGACGACGGGTCTTGTGAAGACATCTCGTACGCCGGCGGCGTGGTCGGTCCCGTCGAGTCCCATCCAGGCGACGAGCCCTCGGACGGCGACGAGGCATCCGAGGGACAGCACTGGTATGTGGAGTACACGGAATGTCCTCCTTCGTAAAGCCCAAACTCAGACGCCGTGAGCCCGTCGTCCGTGACAGACGACGAACCCGACTCGGACGGCGACGGCACCTCAAACTCGGTGGCAGCCGAGAGCCAGAGGGCCGACGGCGCGAGGACGGGGGTGGCAGCGGCGGAGCACACGTACGGGTCGAGGATGCTCCAGTCTGCGCTCACATCAGCGGCGGGCGTGTCCTCCGGCGTGCGCCGCGCGCTCTTCGCCGGCCGCTCTTCAACGGACGCGGCCTCGCGCCGCCTGCGCTTGCGCGAGCTCGATGACGCGCCGTCCGCGAGCACCACCGTGGGCTGCGGGGGCCCCGCGCGAGGCGCGTCGACGAACCGTATGCGGGTGGCCACGCTCCGGCGGGTGTTCAGGCGCGGCTTGCGCTTCTGCGGGACGTAGTCGTCGTGGAGCTTGCGGTGTGCGCTGAGCTCGGCGGGGTCGCACGAGCGGAAGGTGCAGTGTGTCGGAACGGACGCGCCGGGGTGGGCGGGGTGCGGAGCCCAGGAGACGTGCGGGCACGCGTGTGGCCGGATGCCGAGGTGGCGGTTGAGGTGCGTCTCGAGGTTCGTGTACTGCTCCATGGTGCAGTCGCACTCTGCGAAGGGGCAGTGGTACTCGCTGGTAATACGCGTGGATGGTTAAGGGTGCGCGGTGGGGCGAGGGGCGAGGGTGGTGCGTACCTTCCAACCCTCAAGACATATTTGTGGCATGAATTAATGTGGTCCTTCAGGGCATATCCGTTGAGGGCCATGTATGAGCACTGCTGCACCATACACCATATGGGCGCAGACTCGGTCTGGAAGCGGACGAGCGCATCAGGCTCGTGCACGGGAGCCACTAGCGCTTCGAGAGGCTCACCTCAAGTTTGGGCTGCACAGACCTGCGGTATCCCATTGCTAATAACAAGCGCCGAACAGTAGTGGTAGCGGGGGAGCGGGAGCAGGAGCAGGAAACGTCGAGGAAAACTCAGAAGGATGTGGGAAGGGGCAGAGCGCGTCCAGGAGACAAGCCTGATGTCCTCCTGGGCCCACAGGAGAACACACATTATATACCCCCCTCCAAGTGCTTTGCTCGACGTCGATTGCTTTCCTACCTTATTTGGCAGGAACAGGGTCTGGCGTCTGCAGCAAGTGGTTGCTGCATTCGGACGGGACCAAGCTGTGCAGCGACCAAATAGGAAGGAAACGAGGCGTGGGGATATAACAGGCAATTCCCATCTTGGGAAAATGTTTTGGATGTGTGGGCTCACCTTTGGTCGCTAGGCGACTCGGGCGCAGGTCAATGCAGACCGCGTATCAGGAGCGTCTCTACGCTCCGACTCAGCACAGTCCATTCTAGTGCATATATAGACGCATTTCTAAGTCTCACACAAGGAGAGATGCGCTGAGAATATCACCAACTAGTGTAGCGACAGCCCCATGAACGTGCATATTTTGGCGCAATTTACGTTCACTAGAGGGCTCGCTGTTTGGCGTATGCGTTGCATTTTGCCAATGTGTTGCTACCAAGTATAGATGTGTTCTGTTTGTGTGCGGGGGCGGCCTCGATGCTTTGGCTGGCAAAAGCGATGGGCGGGACGAGACAAGTCAAAAGGCGCCCGTAGTGATATCACGGCGGCATGGCGCTCGGCGTACCAAAGAGGCTTCCTGCCGAGCATTATCTAATCGCGCGAACATCCGTTATCTAGACCACTGATCTTCTACCCGGCCTCTATCTTTGTCTCCCACCATCGTAGTTCTCGCTGGGCTGCTTTCAGCATGTCTACGCTCAGCGAAGATAATGTTGCGAATGGTCAGGCCCCCATCTCGCTTGAGCAGGCTCAGGCGATATTCGACGCGTATTACAGAGGCGAAGGCAAGGATCTTACGTCGGTGTCTACCGTCACAGACAGACTGAGGAGCGGATTTAGGTGAGACGTGGTGCCTTTGGTGCGTGTAACTGTCCCTGAACATATTTGTATCTACTGTGCATCGAAGTTCTATTGCGCCAAGCAGGTCGTACGCTGTGCATCTCAATGACGGCGCGTCCTACTTGCTCTTGGTCTCGCCACCTCCGGCGAAGACATCATTTACTTTGGAAGAGCCATCGTCCCTACACACACCTCTCACGACCTATCAATACTTGCTGAAGTTAGTGTCCGAAAGCACCAGTATTCCTCAGCCTACGCCGCTCCATATGTCGGATACCCTCGATATCGTACCCTACGACTATCTCATCCTTTCCTATCCTCCTGGCGTCTCTCTATCAGAGCTTAGGCGACTCGGGAAGCTGTCAGAACGCCAAAATGTTCTGCTCGATTTAGAGATCGGTCGCTGGATGCGCGAGATGCATGACCGTATCCAGAACGACTGGTTCGGTCTACCCAAACCCACGCCCCCAGCGTCCGCGGCACCGCCACTACTACCCAGCATTCCCGGTTTGTCAAGTCTCGGCTTCGGGCAGCAGGGTGCAGACGACGACGAACCGTCGTACAGCTGGCAGGAGACGTTCACGTCCCTGCTGGAGTCGATGCTCAGCGCCGCGGAAGCGCGCGGCCTCGTGTCGAGCGCGTCGTGCGGCGCACTGCGCCAACCCTTAGGGCGCGCAATCGGCAGCTTCCTGTTTGACGACTGCGAGGTCCCGAGCCTGCTCACTTTCCTCGCGGACGCGGGCAGCGTGTTCGTGCACGTCCCCGCGGAGGGCGCCGAGCCGACGATCACGTCACTGCTCCCGCCAACGTTTGCGTTATACGGCGACCCGCTCCTCGAGACGTTCTTCCTCGCGTCGGGCCCCGAGGACGGCGCGCTTCCAGGGCCGGCGCCCAGCCAGGCGCTGCTCGAGGGCTATGGCGGCAGCCCGATTGTGTTCAGGAGGCAGAAGACCAAGCGCGTTTGGTACGACGTGTTCCTCGCTCTGGTAGTGCTTTTAGCCGCTCGTGGTGCTGCCGTGGGTGGCCCTGAGGTGGAGAGGCTGCTGGACTGGGCTCGGCGACGACTGGAAGAATGTGTTGATATACTCAAGGACGCGCCGTGTTACTAATAGAACATGTTCAATGCTACCAGATATCGACGAACCCTTTGGCGGACGATGGCTATCGCGATCAGCCCCTGTACAGGTCGCTATGTAAACAGATTGAGAGTGTCTTGGAATCCGGCTTGATACGAGTGTAACCGAGGAGTTTGTTATTTTTAGGTGTCAACTGTCCGGCTTCCCCTACTATTGGCGAGCAGTAAGCAAGAACTACCCAGGGTGGTTCAAGAACGAGTATATGATGTCTAAACGATACGAGGTGAACTATTCACATTCTTGGGCCGCTTTGGTGAGCTTGGACACTGCGAACTGCAGTCAATTTGGCAGCATCTACTGCCGCTTCAATGGAGAATAAAAACTAGAGCACTCGTGCCACCTGTATACGTCGCCTCCTGAGTTCTGCGTAGTACTTACTCGCCCTCCCCCCAAAAAAAAAAAAAGCCCCTTCATCATCGCGGCTAATTGAGCCGCAGTTGTGTGGTGGAAAAAGTCCAGATGAGGAGCGCAAAGCATCCTCTGGTGCCTAATAAAACCGCCACGAAAGTTCCGACTGAGCGTGCGTGCGGTTTCCGTCCCGTCGTCTCAATCACTTCTCGCGGGATACACGGGTGATGTGCGGAGCGCAAAGGCACCCACACACACACGCCTGTGCTGCGGCTGGCTTTTTGATTAGTGACCGCATGGAGTTCCTGCCGTATGACTGGTGATTGAGGGCCTTCTCCATCGACGAGACGCCCGTCACGGTGTACCAGGCGCTGATCAATTAGCAGGCGTGATTCG